TATATATACATATACATATATATATATATATACACACACATATATATATATATATATATATATCCATAAAACCTAAAAATGTTGCTACCATAGTTTTTACAGTATGGTTTTTTCAGTACCTTACAGAACCTTAATTATAAGAGGTAAATTTGTTGTCTTTTTTATTTGTTTGTTTTTTGTTTGAAAAATGGAGTAGCCATGCCATTCTTGTCTAGATGCTTTTTTGGAGAAGGAAGGATGGAAATGGTCAAATATTTACACATTAATGTGTTTGAGTTAGCAGTTGCCTTTTAAGTAGCCTTTTTGTGTGATTGACATTACTGTTACGCTTATACAAGGCATGCATGTTTATCCTTTTTTAACATTTAAAAGAGAGAAAGATGAAATATTTATACTTTAGAGTAAATGTCGTCATAGATCTGTATGATTTGTATTTTTCTGTGTATCTTACTCTGATACTGACAGTCGTGTCAGATAATGCAAGCTTTTCTAACTGTTCAGTCTGTCATTCCCGTCTTTTCTCAAGAGCTTCCCTCCTTCAAGTGAGCCAACTCTTCATACCACTGGAATCCAACCAGACCCTCGCTGACTGACATGATTAACCGAGTCAGAAGTTTTCGCATTTCTCATCTTTAAGACACCCACACAGTAGTGGGAATTTTTGGTGTATGTCAGCGAGGTGATGCATATGCAGTATATACGTTGGCATTGTGACCCAACAAGGTCTTCAGGGGTCAGAGCTATCAGAATGAGATATGTGCATATCCCCTCACCTGTGGGACAGGGGAATGGGGCCTCTTTCACAGGGGCCTCTCGGTGAGAGGCCTCACATGTTGCACCGGCCTGTGAACACATCCGTGAGCCCCCCGCAGACACGATAAGCTCTTTGATAGAATGGTTAAAAAGTGACAACTGAAAGAAAATGAAACTGGTACGGTTCTGCTGTTGCCGTGTTTCTAGAGAATGTTTGTTTAAAGTTATCAACTGACACTACAGCCGTAAATGAGTGAATAATGTCTAACCGGAGGCTGCGATATTGTCACGTCTGTGATGAAACACCTTGAAGTTTTTGATTTAGTGTCCCAGTGACAACATGATTATTGCTTTG